ACCGTGAACTGCAGTCCAGCTCACATGTATTCGTGGAAGGCGCCCATCTCGCTGCCTGTGCGGACGAACCAAATCCCACGGCAGATTCCTGTTCAACCCTGGTACATCACTGGTGTGCTCGTCTTAGCGTGATCCGTTCGTTCTCGAAACATGCATGTCTAGGACAGGGATGGACATCCTGGCTTTTGTAAAAGCACGACATCTACAAACTCTGGTTGTTGGCTGTCTGGCTGCAGGCAGGTGAAGTGCTGCATCCCTGTCCTCCAATGCTCTGATGCCTGCTAGGGCACCTCCCTAATTTCAGGTTGCAGCCGTGCCTGATGCCCGAACCAGAGAACATGCCCAAACATAGGGTTCTACCGAAAAGTTGTTTGCTTCTTTTAAGCCGCACAATCAAGGCACTATTGAGTGCAAGCAACATTCAAGAGCCCCCAACGCCCATGTAGGACAAGAAATCATGCCCAGGTATTCTCCTGCCTGATCGGCGGCGTGCTCCCGTTTGCTGGTGTGCCAAGACAGCATGTGGGCCAGTACCACGACGGACAACACTCATTCACATTCCGTTCAGGTAGCTGGATTGCACTTCCTTGCGCATCAGCTCTTGCACATCAGGTCTTTACGGAGCTCTTCTTCATCATGTCCTCCATCTGGCAGCACCAGTCGCACCCTTGAGCTGTGGTCAAGCATTCCTAGATCCAGGATGCAGCAGGGGTGCGGTGAGAGCCAGATCTGTTGCAAGACGTTAGTTTCTGGCTGCTTCACAGCGTGTTGGCATGTCTCAACTGCGTGTATTGATCTTAGTGACTTGCAGGACACAGGTGCGCGCAATGACGAGACTTAATATTGCAACATCAACGACATTCCAGCGTCAGCGCATGCCTTCGACAAACAAACAGTTGGGACAAGTTTTTAGCAGGGCAGTTTCAGGTTTTCTATCAGAGGCTGGAGGCGTCTGCAAGATATTGGAGAACTGAAGTGAAAGACGTGAAGTCCATGCTCCGGCGCAGATCACAGAACCGCTTCCCTCGCTTATACTGTGGTAGATTCTGGCCAGTGAAGACATAAGCTAGCAGTACTTGCGGGCCACGCCATACTACGATTGTAACGGAAAATGCTGTGTGCACGATGCTTTGAGCACGTTTTTGCAATGGCTAGTATTTGTCGGATAAAGTCAGGCTCTGGCAGCGTAAGACTCCGGCAGTGCGTCCTATTTTCATGGCATGACAGGGCATGAAGACATGCTGCTGAACCAGGTTTTACTATCTCTTCGGCTTTCTCATGCTGGTCCTGGTCATCTTGATGGTAACGTGTGCGGAGATTTCCATCACGCTCGTTTATTTTCAGCTGACAAACGAGGCTCTTCAATGGGACCCTATATTTTTAGCATTGGCTTTTTTGTACTTTTTTCTTGAGGGGAGGGGTTCAGGGGCTTGGGGTGGAGGAGGTTTGGGCCAGGACCACATAGATTTGTGGAGCTTTTTAGCGGCATTCCCCGAGCGAGGCTTCAGAGGCGGCATCCCCGCAGAACCAGATGTCTGGATTCTTACGGGTTCAGATGCTTGGTATTTTGGGTTGTATGTAGATTGTGGGGCAACCAAGCCTATAATAACTATAGTAACTAGCAGAGCACGGACATCCACACAAGCAGGTTTCGAGCCAGCTAAGACAGGTATCAAATTTATTAGCCACAGCCAACAGTAAGTCCTTGACTCCGTGACAGTCACACAGTTTAACAGTATTGGCACCACTTGTATGTCTCGACATGCAACAATACAAAACACATAAAGCGAACCCTGAGCACTTTTCCAAGTAATTATCTTGAGTAGTACATAAATCCATCGCAGGCCAGAGCAGATCTAGATCTACTACTGACTACTACAACAACAACAACAACTACTACTACTACTACTACTGCGACGTGCCTCTTTTCCAGCAGCCATTCCGGAGCAACCTTGGATTTTCTGGGATTCTGGCCGTCGGAGTCGTCGAAATGGGGCGGAACACCGAGATCATCGGCCGACGGCCGAAATTGAATGCATTTTATGAGAATTTAACAACAGAAGATCAACACCAGATTTCGCTGGAGCCGCCGAAATCGGGGGAAGCCTGCAAAACCACGAAAATCGTCGAATCTGTCGCATACCCGGTTTCTGGCCGTCGGAGCCGCTGAAATTGGGGCCATTGGGGAGGCCCGCAAAACCACGAATATCGTTTAATTTGCCGGAAAATGCTTTTTTTTCCAGCAGCCATTCCGGAAGAACTTTGGATTCTCTGAAATTCTGGCCGTCGGAGCCGTTAAAATGGGGGAACCCCGATATCGGCCGACGGCCCAAATTGAACAGTATATTTTTTTAGCAGAATTTGATGGCAGAAAAATCAACCCTAAATTTACTGCCGGAGCCATCGAAATTGGGGAAGACTGGCAAAACCATGAATTTTGCACTTTTGTGGTCGTAGTTATGCAAGATGTTCTCCGCAGAAGCCACTTAAAGTTCAGAATTCGTCCGGATGGACCCATAAAAAGCTATGAATTCGAAAACTGTCACGAGCGACAATGGTGTTTTTCGACAACATCAATCAAGGCCCTTCCAAAAAGACAGATAGATTACAAAGTCCGCCCCCTGCGCGCTCGCTCGCTCGCCAGGACCAAATCTGCAGGGTTCAGGGTATTTACTCATATATAGCATTATTGGCGTCCGCCCGGGAACAGGTCACTTGTCCCTATAGACAACAAGTTCACGCTTGTGGTGCCATGTACGTGCTAGTTGTATTGCTCTGTGGTGCATACAGCCCGGGAATGGAAGTGACTCGCAAAAGTTACGAGGGGCGCTGTGGCCGCCGCTTACAAGGCGGCGGCGCTTAGGCCGGAATTTAGGGTTTAGGGTTTAGCGCTTAGGGTTCAGGGTTGTGGGGGCCGGTGTTGTCCTATTGTTTATCATGACGGCAAGCGCGGCAAGACAGTGTCCGGTTGGGGCGGTTTGCGTGTCAAGCCACATGTCGGAGGACAAAGCTTGCTACGTAACGGAGGTAATGCTGCGTATGGGGGATACATGAGGTCTGTGCTTATTCAGGATGAACTGGGGCATTTCTTTGGGTCCAGGGATCCCAAAGAAGAACTCTTTGGCGATGCCTTCGAATTGGCCTTGGGTTTTCTCACCTTGGCGCACAGGTTCAACCGCTACTTCCCGAATTGGCCAGATGCACAAACAATTCGAGCCTGCATCTCGGGTCTCGAGAAGTCGTTCTACCGGTACGCTGCCGGCGGAAGAGGCACCAACCGCAGAAGAAATTCTCCAAAGAAGAGTCGAAGAGTCACGAAGCGGATCGCTACATCAGCGATCACATCGCACATGACTTGCTTGACGACGTCGCTCCAATGGCCAAAGTCTTTTATTTGGAGCCGGAGATCGCAACACAAGGAGTGGAATCCGCTCCGCCGGCAAGTGACGGACGCAGGGGTCCAAGGGACCAACCAGAAGAGGAGGTGGAAGCCCCTACTACAGACGTGGACATACCCTCCGACGCGGACATCGGGATCATGGCAAACACCTTCCTCAACGCCTTGTCTACTTTGGACAACGGAGACACGCATGCACAGGAGGAAGAAAGAGACAGATCTTGTTTCCATGTGGGAGCCCACACCACCGGTATGGTGAGAGCATGATCGGAACAGCCCTGAGTATGCCGCGCGACAGAAAGCCTACGATCTCATTTCGGGTGCCATCATCAACTACCCTAATCTCAGGTGGCTCCTCCGCTGCCTGAACCTGACGTGGAGATGTCGGCGCCAGATGATGTTGACTCCAGCCACGGTTCTACGAGGGCCGGGCCGTCACGCCCAAGGGCGAGAAGGCCGGTGCAGACTGGGATGCTCATGTTTCACGAGATGTTCGTGCAGCAGAGTGAATCGAGGTCTTGCGTGGCCCATGTTGAACGAAATGCCATTTCAATGGTGTTTGTGGTGAGCTACCCACAGCAGTTGGACCAGAATTCCAACGAGAAGTGGTGAGAAACATCCAGCACCACGTGACAGAAGCAGACTTGAGCCTTCCACAACGTGGGGATGTTCTACTTGATGCCACACGAGAAGAGAACTTGGGATATCAAAGCGTGGCTGAGGGTGTCCGAGGAGGGCTATTGCAGCTGATCCCTCTTGAAGACACTTGTTTCTGCCAGGAGCATTGGTGCGACGTCGACCATCCTACCTTAACCCACATGAGCGACAATCGGCGCTCAAATTGCCAGCGTATCCAGACTCAGCTTCGAAGCGGCATCGGCAAAACACCTGGCGTGGCACCTCTCTATGGCGACAGGAGCATCAAACTCGAAGATGGCCGGGGTTTTTGTCGAACTACTACGGAGGGAAGTCCTATGGACAGCGCATTGTCGCAGCTACACTAGCAATGCGATGACAATGCGCGACCCCGAGGAATGAAGGATCATCTATCGAGATTGCTTGCAACTGTTGATCGACGCGAACTTCAAAGCTGCACGGACAGGGGAGAGGAAGATCCGCCTGCAGTTCCTTCGATTGAGAATCAAACTTCCACCTTCAGAGTTTACAGAGGCTCAGAGGCCCACTATCCTGATTCGGACCGGATCGCATCTCTGGAGGCACAAAGGAACTCCGTCGGATGCTACCTCGTCTCAGCGACGGCGCCATTCGCAGTCACGACGGATGGATCATGGCATGGGCAGTTCGCACGACGAGCGGACACATCAAGTACGCCAATGAGGAGTACAGTTTGATGACGGTGTGTCCTGGTATCAACCTGCTGTCATGGATACGGGCACAGGGGGGGGGGGGTGCTTTTCATGCCATTCGCTCCGTTTGATCGACGGAATGTTACCACGAGGTCCCGTGTCCAAGGTCATCGAGATCAACCAATAGTGACACTTTATGTGCCGAGTGTCGATCTTGTACGACAAGGTGCACACCTCAGCGAAAGCGGCGTCTTCCTGGGAGAAAGAACACTACCTCGGAAGTTGGTGAAAGAAGCATGGTTTTGTGTTCCCGTCGGGCCGTACCGGGGCACTCATGGAAGTTCGATATCATCGACAAGATACTGGACTATTCGTTGGAAGATGAGGTGGTGCAAGAAGCGGACTTTCACCCATGCATTCGACATGGTCACATCACAGGATCGCTGCGAGCATGATGGAGATATTGGCGGACATGCCGAGATGGGGAACCTCCTTGATGCTGACCCAAGATCTGAACTGTACAAGCGAAGGCTTGAGAGCTCCTTCTTATTTGTCGCCATGAACTTCGAAAGACCAAAGAAGCAATGTGAGAGGACAGGCTCTCATGTGGCGTATCGAGTATGCCGCGCTTGTTTTTACTATACCCCAGCCTGCTTGGCCAGATGTACGGCTTGTTTCTCAGCTTTCCAGACAATGTGGCGCCATCTCGGGAGTCTCATAAGGTCCCGACAGAGGAAATTGCAGGAGCAATGGAAGCAGTGGAGGTTACCATGGCTGTTGATGACGATAACAACGTCACTGTTGCAGAACCTGATGAGGAAGAACTTCCCGAAGCCATTGCGGAGCCTGAACAGGAACAGTCTGCCGAGGTCGACTTCGATGAAGGCTATGATGACGATGAAGAACAAGAACGTCACCCTGTTCTAGTCATTGAGAACATCAGGCACATCGAACGCATTGCAGCGAGTGCTCAAGTGGCATTGCAGACACCATATTTCCCCAGTCACAGAAGTGCTATCTGCGTGGATCCACACCAGCTCGCCTACACGTTCATGAGCTTCCTTCGCGTTGTGCCGATGCATTCCCACGCATTGGAAGGCCTTCAGCAAATTTGTGAGTCAACTACAGCGTCATCCGGCAACATGTTGACGATGGCTATCGTTACGATCAAATTGGATCCATGGGCGGTCTTGCACGTCTGGAACCCAGTGACAGGTATCAGCGCCGAAGTATCGGACACCGAGATCCTGAATGAACCTCGCAACGGTCAAGCGACCAAGGACCCCGACGGTACCTTATTCCTGAGGACTTCAGATTGTCGAAGTTGCTGTCGACCCGCGTTCGTGGAGCGTAACAGTTGAACCAATAGGAGGGAGACCTTCAATCCTGAGATGGACAAGACCCAGGAGAACACATGCTCTGATGTGCATTACAGACGCCGTGCCTGGTATTTAAGGCTGATAGAAATGCGCAGCTTGAAGTAAGTCCCATCGGAACTGATTTCGTCTACTACTACGGCTACTACTGCTACTACTGCTACTACTGCTACGACTGCTACTACTGCTACTACTACTA